TATATATATATATATATATATATATATATATATATATATATATATATATATACAAAGAATTCAATTAGTTTATTATAGGATCCCAGATTTATTATTTTTTAATTTAAATTAAAAATAAATCAGTTATATAAATATGTAATAGTAGTATTACATATATCTGGGAAATATGTCGTATTAACCATACGAATATATTACATAAAATTGTTCTTCAAGCGATCAAATGGTTTCATATAACGCATATTTTTGTTAATTATCTTTATATTAATTGACAGCTTTTCTTAAGCGATTTATATTTAAACATTCTTTTTTTTGATCAAACAGATCGATTGTAGATTTTTTTTTTTTTTTTTTTTTTCCGTCAATTCAGATTTTATGTGAGATATTGATTTATGTCATCAATAATTATGATCACTATTATATCATATTTATTCGTATTGGACTATAATTGGTGTAATATTGATAATTTAACGATTTCGAAATTAATAAAAGAATAATATCTAATAGCAATTAGTTTCTACATTAATGTTACTGACATGTACATGTGTACATGAACGGTCAATGATTGGTGGACTGTATGTGAAAAAATACAAAACTTAATCAAAGGATCATTTTTTTAAATTTACGTTATTTAATCATTATCCTGTTTATTAATCACTCTTATGTTCACTTTTACACATTTCAATAATTCTTATTTTATCGCAATATTTTATAGTGTAGTATTTTATTTTTTGTAAGATACCATGTCAGAAAACAACATATATATATGCATAGATTATATACATACATGTATAATTTATTTATAGCACATATAGACTATCAAAATATATAATCAATACGTAATATATTTTTTCGTTTCAATTATATGTGGTCACACATGACACAAGTGCCCGTCAACTAAACAACTGCAATGTCAAGTAAACATTTTCATTGTGCAGAACAAATAAATTCTAGCTACTTATTCTAATATAATAATAATAATAATAATAATAATAATAATAATAATAATAAAATTATGATTAGTAAATTAGTAAATTTTTATCAGCGTTATTTTAAACTTAATTTTTTACTATCGTTTGTCCTTGTAGCAATTTATCCGTAAATAATGAACTTTGTGAAACACATTAAAGTAATGATGAATAATTATCATTTTGACTATTCTTTGTGGTATATTTATCACCATTACTATATTTATCAATTGCTTCAATAATAGTAATAATAATATTGACAAATATATATTTAATATTAACAAAACATCCGGTGATAATATTATCGTCCAGCGGCAAAACGCTTTGTCCAAGTCCTGCAAGGTACATTATTATAACGTTTCTTCAAATGCAGCCATCAAGTCACTTTGCATGTTCATGTCAATCTTGTTTGCATTCTGAAATAACAAATAATCCTATTCTTTTCTAATCTCTCAAAAATAAAATCTGTTGTCAGGTAAGAAAGAAAAATATGCTGTTAACTATATTAGGCTACTTTTTTTTTAAGGATCGTCATTGATGTAACTATTATTTCACAAAAGCACTAAATCAAACTAGAAATAAATTAACCCAATCAAGCAAAGGGCATATTTTTCCTTCTTACTTTTTTACAATCTTATCTAAATTTGAAAAATTCTTAAATTTTTTCATTCCAAGCAAAATTACTACTGTAATTAATATTTAATTTTCAAATATAAGATGACTGCGTCAATGAATAAACGACATAGTGATTTATTACTTTTACTTATTATAAAATTTGTTAATTTTTTTTTTCCGAAAATCACAAAAAATAATTATGCTAATTTTGATAGAAGTAAATAATTATAAAGTACATTTTTACATTTTTGTTTATTCATAAACTTTATCATCTTATTATTAAAGAAAGAAAGAAAGAAAGAAAGAAAGAAAAAAAACTTACCGCTTCACGTCGCCGTCTGTCTTGTTCTCGGAGCCTTTGACGTTCGCGTTCAGCTGCCGCTCTATCCTGGCTAGATGAATGACTCGGACTACTACTGTCAGTTTCAGTAGAGACTTTTATTTCTTCTACCCGTGATGTTGGTGTAATGGTTACTCCTTGCTGCTCATTGACAGTCTTCATGACTTTTTCTAACGCATCTTCATCTTCACGCTCTCGTTTTCGTTCACTTTCCTGGCGTAATCTTTCTTGTTCTTTTTGTTGCCTTCGGATCTCTTGTTGCTCCAGTAGTGCACGTTGCTGCATATTTTTAAAATAAAAATAAATTAAGAATAAAGAAAAATTAAAATAAGTTATTACAACTGATAGACTAAAAATTCTTCTTTTAAAAATGTAGTTTTCTAGACTGTCAAGATCGGTCACTTGTTCGTTAATGAAAGAAAAGAAAATTTAGTCAGATTAAGAGGACGCTACAACTACATAAATATGCGTATATATATATATATATGTAGCCAAGTTAATAGCCGGCAGCTATCGAAGTCTTACGAATGAATACGAAACTTAGAGAATTTATTTAACGAATCGGTTTGTCAACAAAGCTTAATACGAAAAGAAATTTGGTAGATGCGTCAAATGTCAAGAATTTATTCTCCGTATAGATTAGCAAATAAAATAAAGTAAATAAATTTAATGATTTACCCTATCCTGTTTTTCTTTGGCTTGCTTCTTGAATGATAAGAAAGAGTCTCTTGATGAATCTCTTTTTATATTACTTCCTGCAGCTGATTGTGGACTTGAAGCTTGAGCCAACGATGACCATGATGATGCATTTTTAACATTTTGTTCAACAGTCTGTTTTTTGTCAATAATTTACAAAAATTTTATTATTAAAAATTTAATACAAATAATTTTTTTTCTATGAGTTTTTAGACATAAATAAAAAGTAATGATAGTAACAAATACCTTATTTTTGAAAGCCGAAGCAAAATTAGCCGCTGAATTTTTCGAATCTGGCGGCGTCATTTTCTTTTCTGGCAATATTTGTGCATTAGAGTGGTTACTCATCACTGGCATCCCTAATGAGTTCATCTCTGCAAAGAAAGCCCCCGCTAAAGAGATTTCGTTTTAAGATTTTATTAGTAAAGCATTAGTTAGTATTATTAATAATTAAAAATATCATGAGTTATTGAATGAGGTTAAAAAAAAATAAAAAAAAAAAAAAGGTAGAAAAGAAATTACGAAATAAGTGATAAGGGATGACTTACCATCCATAGGTTTATGAGATGTTGGAGCTTGTGTCATTTGAGGCCGTTCATCTTTTTTGACAGTCAATTGAGGAATTTGCATTGGCATAGAAACCATCGGAGGAACTGGATCAAATATTGATCCTACGGTCGATATACCCAGCGGCATATTTAAGTTAGGTATACCATTATTGTTCATCATAGATGGTGAAGTTTCACGTTTAATATTAGAAAATCCATTGGAATGCTGTTGATTATTCATCACCATATTATGAGCATTTTGTATGTTATTTAATTGCGTTGTATTCATCATATTTTCTAATTGATTTTGTAGTAACGCTGGACCAAGATTTTGTTGTAAATTCAAATTGATATTACCCATACCAATATTATTCAATAAATTTGATTGAATATTTGTTGGCATCATGTTAACAGAACTTTTAAAATTAGTCATTAAATTTGCATTAGTATTATTTGTTGATACAGGTTGATGAATATTTTGAACCATTGACGCATGGGTCGTTTCTTTTTTCATGCTACTCAAATTCATTTCTATAGATGGTTGAGTCGTTGTTATAGATCCTATTTAACAAAAAAAAAAAAACACAATTTAATTAACAATATTCATGCTTGTAAATAATTTAAAAATAAAAGTATTTGGTAATTGTTTGAAAGTGGGGTTCACCTTATTTTTAGTAATAAACATTTTCTATTTTATTTTCTTATAGGAAATTATAGATTTGGTCCGATTTTGAGAATGTGAGTTTTTTTATCTAAACTGCGTCAAATGCCGTTGAGTAAATTAAAATCGAAAGAGGCGTAATAGCCATTTAAAAAATTCTGAGTAATCGTTATTTTTTACATAACTTTTGAATTTTTGAGCTCAAAGAGTTCAAAAATCAACCAATTGGGAGATTTTGAAGCGTTTTAAGCTCGAAAAAAAGCCGAAAGTTCTAGAATTGGCCTACCGGTTAACCGCTGTTCAAGTTTTTTTAAAGGGTAATCGGAAAAAATTTTAAAGTTATGAAAAATTCATATTATTTCATTAAAATTATTATAAAATAAGAATTATAATATCCACCCCCACAATTTTCCTGAAAAACAAGCACCTCCAGAATGATCGCTTCATTTTTTGTTACAAAATTATTATTATTTAATAATTTTAATGAAATAATATGAATTTTCCATAACTTAAAAATTTTTTCCGGGTCTATTTTTTCCGAGATTTTTTTTAAAAGTATTCTATTTCACGGCAGATTCATAACACCTATCATTAAAATTCTCAAAAAATTTAATATCGAGCGAAAATTTTTGATAAAAGACATTTTTTAGAATTCTTTTCTTTTTTAATTTTTCTATTTTTTATAAACTTCAACAAAAAAAAAAAAAAATGCCATTCGGCCTCTCCCGAAATGGAAGGTAGATTTCATGTGATATGAGATTTTCTTTATTTATTTTATTTAATTTTTAATGAATAAAAAATTTTTACGTAATTTTTAAATTTTCAATCCGCTATAACTTTTGAATGAGTTAACCGATTATCACGCAGTTGACAGCAGTCAATGTAGATTGTCGAGTTCTGTAATGAAGTCCAAACCGTGAATTTATCAGATAAAAAATTTCGGAGTTTGTTTGAAAAAAATGCTTTTTTCGATTTTTTTCGTCAATGTTACCTCACGAGCAAATCAACCGATTTTGATTGATCTGGCGGCGATTTACTTGGTTGTTTGATATTAAGAGCTGATTAGTTTTTGGAATCGATCGGTAAAGCCGTTTAAAAGTTTTATTCTTAAAAAACCACATTTGAAAAAAAGTTTTCATTATTTTAAAATTTTTGAATGGCCTATAAAATTAATAAAAATCATTATAAAGTATAAATGTTATAGGTCACATTAAAGTTAATATAATCCGAACAAAAACAGTTTCACTGTAAAAAAATCGCGCCAAGTCCACGTTCATAAGACTATTAAGAAAAAAAAATTAGTTTTTTCTTTACAAAAAGATATAAAATAAAAAAAATTGAAAAAATCCAAGTAACCGATATGATTGTTTATGATTTTCGGAAATTAAAAAAAATTTTATTGTAAATTTAAAAATTAAAAAAAAAAAATTTTGGAACGTACTTGGTGTGCGCGGTTGCAAAATATTTTACTTTTAACTAAATTCGTAAAATCTATTTACTAGAACTTTAAAAAAATTGAAATGCACAAATATGACGCACACCAAGTACGTTCCAAAATTGTTTTTTTAATTTTTAAATTTACAAAAAAATTTTTT